GGGGGGGGGGGGGAGATGTGTCGAGTGAACGTTGGACAACGTTAGCCCCTCGACAGTGCAATCATAAAAAATGTATAAATATTCGGAGGTGGACGAGTGGTCTTCATAGCTTTTTTGGAATATTTTCAAATGACTATTAATCATTTATAGGTAGCATTAACAAATGTGCAAATTTACCCTTTTTGTAGGTCTTAGGGACATGTATTTTTGCTTTGTAATCAGTTTTTCTTTTTCTCATTATCACACTGAGTCTCATGTTGATCGATAGCAATCCCTGATATCCACTGTTTTGGGACACTTAAATGAATCAATTCGTTGTGTAATTATACTGGTCATGTGGAGTGTAACAAGAACTCGATAACTACCTGCATTTATCCAGCATTAAATTTGAGGATACGAGGAACATGTAAATTAATACGAGAGGGAAAATGAACTCTAGAATGCATAAACTAAGTTTATGTGTAAGAAAATGTTTTATACGTAAGGGAAGGAAAAGTATATGAAATATAGTACAATTCAAAAATTAAGGGTGTTTATTTATTCCTTGAATAAATCCTACTATTCGTTTATTCCGTAGAAATTTGTTTTTCCTGAGTGGAATCTTGATTGAATTAATATATAATTTCTAAACGAATCTGATCATGAAATATATCATCCAAAAATCATAGAAAATTATGCTCAATCGCTCGATTGTGATTTCTTCTTTTTCTTCTTCTTCTCACTAGTCGGGGCTTCGACTTCCTCTTTCACCTCTGGAACTTCCTCTGACTCCTGCGTCTTCTTCTTCTTTTTCTTCTTCTTGGGCTCTGGAAAATTCAAATAAAGAATTAATACAAATCCTTATAAATTCATAAGCAGGGATAGCCATATTCATAAACTATAATTATCGTTAAATTTTGATGTAGTCAATTCGTTAATATCATTCTTAATTTTTTAATTATTGAAGTCATCATCAATTTAATTAATTCCGAATTAAGTTATTAATTCCCTTCTTCAATGTAAAAAAATTCCTGATTTAAACCTTCATCACTAAGCTGCGCATTCTGTTAATATTCTGTAATTGCTGCGCCTGTTCCCACCCACCGCATCAAAAACCTGAATAAATTACCTGTGCTCTCCTGACTCTCCTCAGCCTCCACCTCCATGTTCTCCTCCTCCACCTCCTGCTTCTTCTTCTTCTTCTTTTTCTTCTTGCCCTCCTCAACCGAAGTGGAAGCCTCCTCTACCTCGACCTTGACCTCGACCTCCCCCTCGCTCTGCCTGCTCTTCTTCTTCTTCTTCTTGGGCACCTCCACCTCCTCCGGCTCCGTCTTGATCTCCTCAATCAGCGGCTTCGTCTCCTCGAACGGCCTCTTAACTCCAATAGTCGAGTCACCAGCCACCGGATACTGCACAAACTCGCTCTTCGCCTGGTACTTCTCGAACTTGGCTTTGGCCTTTCCAGTCCCACTGATCCTCTTCAAGTTCCCCTCCTCCAGGATCCTGAGCCTCGCCTCGAGCTTCGCCTTGTGTTCAGCTCCAAGATCGAAGCTGCCATCCTCCCCGAGGGCGTCGACTCTCGTCGCCAGTGAAGCCTTGGCAGCCAACATCCTCGACATCTTCCCCTTGTTCTTGGTGGAGCTCTGTCCAACCAACTGTGCATGGTAGATCAATCCATACTTGGGTGTGTCTCTTTTCGTCTTCAAGGCCCTAAACAGCGCCTTCTCAGCCCCCAGAATCTGCACAGTCGAGGCTGGATGCTTCGCCAAATTGATGAGAGACCCTGCGTGGGAGATCAGACGAGCGCCCACCAGTTCTCCAACGAGAACAGTCAGATTGGGGGCCATTGCCATCATCCTGGTCTTCAGATAGTCGTACAGCTGTGCTCTGTACTGGGAGATCTCAATCACCTGATCGCACAGGTGTTGAATGTTCAGGATGTCGTCCTCAGATATTTCTGTGCCCATGGAGATCTCAGCTGCCTCCTTCACCTTCCCCTCGATCTCCTCGGGGAGAATGTCCGAGAGATCTGACTTTATCGTGTTCTCACGTGTTCCTATTATCTTCACTGTCTTTACGAAGGCCACGTTGTCTGCTATCAGCTTCCCCAACTCGGGAAAGTGCCAGCCGTACCACTCCCTGCATCTCATCACGTAATTGTTCAGCTCCTTGTCCAGATCGTCGAGGAGGCAGACCGCCTGGATGATCATTGTGTCGATTTTGTCGGGGGAGAATTTGAGTTTGTAACGGGAGAGACTGTGCGCCAGACCCAGGGCCATTGCGGTCATCTCTTTCTTCGGGAGGCCTGCGAGCAGACTGTCCATCTGGCTTCTTATGCAGCGCATCAGCTCCTGGATTGAGTTGTTGCTCACGCAGGAGAGACTCAGCTTGTCCTTTATGGCGTTACCCAGCTTGGCGTCTGCCACTGCCAGCTGCTCTTGAACCTCGCTGCAGTGCTTTTTCAACATCTTCTTCAGGGATTTGCAGAGCTTTCCCTCTACTGCCGCTGTTGTCGCCGCGAGGGCTTCTGTCGTGTCCGCAAATTTCTCGAAGTGCTTGAGCTTCAGGCTGGAAGAGGGATTGCATAGGGGGAAATGTACGAATATATTTCAATGGATGTTGTTCCATAGAAAATGTGTTAATGAATGTAAGAGGATTTTTTATCGAATTCGGCAGGTTTTCCTGGGAAATTCTTTCGTCTGTGCATTTTGCTATTTGCAAGAATTAATTAATTGATTCGCTGGAATGAATCAATGTCTTGAGAGATGTCTTGAGAAATGTCTTGAGATCTTTTTTGTAGTTGAGAGAATTTCCAACAAAAAATGTCTTATCGCATTTTCTCCTAGAACCCCCCGTTATCAAGATAATCCCATATGCAAGTAGACGAAAACAAAACGTCATGAAATAACAATAAGATATTCAGGTCTCAAATTAATATTTTCGATTAACTCGTGAAGGGTAATTTTTAAAGGTAATTCTAGAGACATTTTCCAATAAATATATGAACCAATAATGAAGAAATCAATTGTGTACAATACTCACAGTTTACTGGCAGCCTCTGGCGTCTCGAAGTCATGATAGAGATTCTCAGTCTTCGCCAATTTGTTCTCATCCAACAGCTAAAAAATGCCCCGCAATTAGTCATACCACCCCTCAATATCATTTTTCAATTTTATTTTGGAGTATTCTAAGCAGGCCACGTGCTCATCGAGGTTAGTTTGCCAGTAGTGCCTCCAATAATCAATTCTCACTGAAATTACCTTAAAAATTGCGTACCCCGCTGGGGTCTCAAACAGCACCAACATTTTACCACTTTTTTTTATTTATCCACTTGCACAATTATTTATTATTCACTGATAAACGACGTGCACGAGTTGTACGTGGAGACAACATGTGTGTGCGCGTCGGAAGAGACAGCGTTCACGGAAATTAAAATTTCCATGAACCATTTTTGCGAAACTAGCGCCACTCGTGTCTTCCTCTTCTTCAATTTTTTTGGCTCTGGGGCATTACGTAGCTCTACCCTTCGGCCGGGCTACGCTGTACTTTTGGATATTTTCAGTTTTTTAATTTTTCAACTAAATTGCATGAAAAAAATTGGAAAAAATTCATATCCAGTCAGTATCATCTAGATTAAATTTCGCAAATTATTGATATTTTCTCAAAGATTTTCCTCTGATAAATAAATAATAAAACTTGTTTGCAAAACGGTGGATTGTTTTTTATGAGGTGTCAAAAAAAATTCTTGATTTTTTCACATCTAATGAAAAAAAATTCAGATTTTAATCTTTGATTACAATGGAAATATTGATTTTCACATAAGACACTGCGGGTTAAATCCTGATTTTTTAACATTTCTTCTTTGAAAAATCAAAACTATAATTAATAATTAATTAAATTACATTACCAAAAAAAAAACTATCATTATATTTTACTGAAAAGAATTATTATTATTTCAAATAATTGATTTTTCAGTTTTATAATTATTACATTTTATTATTATTATTATTATTATTACGGGTATATATATATATATATACCCGTATATATACATATACTGTATAATAATTAATTAAATTGAGAAAAAAATTAGAATTCCGAATCTAAACGAGTTTTCTGCAATTTTTTTTCAGTTTTCAATAATCTTTGAATTTACCGTAGGGGTAGAGCTGCTATTTTAATATCATTACTGTGATATCACTTCCGGAAAATCAAATAAGGTAATGCCTAAACATTGGAAATTTTCGTTAATTGACGGTAAACAATTATGAAGCATATTTGAAGGTCCATGACTTTTTCTGGGAATTGAATAAAAATTGAAATGTGAGGCTAATAATTTCTTCATGACTATTAAACCTCTGGGATGGATTCTCCACGAGATGATCAAGACCTTGACGTGGATTACGATGATTACGACGTTATAATTATCGGTGGAGGCTTGACAGGGCTGTCTGCGGCCTATCACCTCGCAAAGAAACGAGCCAATTTATCGGTGATGATTGTTGAAGCTGAAGGTATTTTACAAATTTTTGGGGTCTAAATGTATTTTTTATTACACTGAGAAAAAAATATATTTTTATCAAATATCCATTTACTTGAGAGAAGTATTCATTTTTTCAATACCATATTTCTCCAGTCTAGTCATTTCCAGGCAATCCTCATTGGGTTTCAATTATGACAATTGTAGTACTCTAGAAGATGATTATGTTTGTTATGACTTTGAGGGAATTCCCTCAATAATTATCAACATTAAGGGGAGACTACTGTGAGTTTTAAAAGTCGTGGGTTATTGGAGTGAGACTTTTCGGGCAAACGAACAACAAAAATTTTTTTTTGCACTAATTAGTCGTTTTCAGATCTATTTAATCGATGTGCAACGTATGAAAAGTCTCACTCCAATAACCCACGACTTTTAAAACTCACAGTAGTCTCCCCTTAAAAAATTAATGGAAATTCTTTCCTCTAGAAAATAAGAAATTTAGGAAAAATGAATAATCATTGGAGGAGTTCATCCAAGGTCGTGTGCAACATAGTCATCCTCTAGAGCAACATGATTGTCATAATTGAAACCTCATCAAGTTCGTCTGGGAATACCTCGATTGGAGAAATACGATGTTGAAAAAAAAATGCTTCTCTCAAGTAAATGACTGTTTGGCAAAAATAATTTTTTTCTCAGTGCATTTATGAAATGAAAAATGAAGCGTGTCTAATATTCATCGTTAAATTTCACGTAATGGCTTTCACTTCTACACTTTATTTCGTAGATTCTACAGGAGGTAGACTAAAATCAGGAGAGCATTTCGATCTCCATGCGCATTCGTTCCAGAATAATATGACGCGATTGCTGCGGGAACTGAAGATTGAAACTGAATTCGGGGAGCAACGCGACGATAAAAACCGCGTCTTTTGCGATGAGAACGGTCCGGTCCGTTCACTGCCTTCTTTCCTCGCCGCGCAAGTGTATTATTGCATAAAATCGGTGAGATCTCGTCTGCTCACGGTATTACAAGGAGCTGACGTAAAGAATATATTATGAATATGGATACATGTATTTTTAATTTTTTTTTAATGATAGGAGAACGTACGACAGAATTTAATAGAAAACTCTAGCGCGTTCTCTAAGAAATTCGATTGAAATTATTTTTGAAAATTCGATTTGTTTTTTTTTCGCGAATTCTATTAAAAATTCCCCAATATTTCCGGAGATATCTGTCTATGGGAAAAAATGTTTAGACGTTGATTCCTCCATATAACTCATTCTATTGGGATTATTTTTTTAGAGGAATTCTTTAAGAATTTTCCAAATTTTTTTTCTTGAATTTTATCATAAGAAATTGACAAAAATACAGAGGACAAAACTCAGAATTTAGGCTTAAAAAGTTCTGTAGAAAAATCATGATCTATTGACATTTTTCGAGAAAATAATTGACGCGAAAACAAGAATTTTTAATAGAGTTCCAATAGAAATTCAATAGAATTTTGACTAAATTTTTCTCATACGTTAAACACTAGTAATAAAAGAAAACAAAAATCATGAACTATTGCCATTTTTTGAAAAAATAATTGACGCAAAAAACAGAATTTTTAATAGAGTTCCAATAGAAATTCAATAGAATTTCGATTAAATTTCTCTCCTACCCTAGTAATAAATATAAACGACGTATTCTAAATTTCCAACAGCTGAACGAAAGTAGTTTAGACCGACGATTAGAATCCCTGGAGAATAACGAAGAATTCACGATACTTGCAGAGCTGAGTGCCGCTGATTTACTTGATCGTATGGTCCTCTCCTCAAGAGCCAAATCCATTTGCGCAAGTTTAATTTCATTGACTTGTGGTGAGAACTTCATTCTCATCGGTGAAACACTCACGTCCATTCTTCACGTTTCAACGAAATTTGATTATTTTTTAGGCTTTATGGATTTGAAAAATATTTCCGCCTTATGGCTGCTGACATTACTGCACGGGGCTGGTGGATTTTTCGAACGATTGAAGTTCTTCTTGAACAGCAATTCACGTTATTTCATTAAAGTAAATACACGTGCGAAAAGATTGAATAAAAAATTCTATTGTTTGTTTTTTTTCTTCACTTTTGTTAAAATAGAAGTCAAGTCAATAACAAAAGGTCAATAACAAAAATAGCAAAAATTTTATAAACAAGAATAGAATAATTCAGTGTAATTTTTGGTATTTAATTATTCTATTTAAATTTTTCGATTTCTTTTTCAATTTATTATGAATTCCTACAGGGGGGAAATTCTGCATTACTTCAACGATTGAATAAAAAAATCCTGGATGAAAATGTCACCATAAACTGTTCTGAGACAGTGAATAAAATCACGTTCAACGAATATCGGAATTTCGTATCGACGGGTAATAATACATACAAGTACGTTGAAATTCTGCGGCATGAATGATCAATTCGATTGTTATTTTTTAGTTCAGTACATTGACAGTTACCACTGGATCCAATTCAATCCTCAAAGGAGCAAATTTCATAGAAAAATCGAATTCTTTTGACTTGTTCTATTGAATATTTAATATATATAACTATTATTATATTTATATGTTATATAGGGGAGGCTGGGGTAAAATGGACACTTTTGACTTTTTTAAAAATATTAATGAGGGGTTGCAATGTTGATGAATTTTAATAATTTGTTTTTCAATAGAAAACAATTCTTTCCCTTTGTGATGAGCTTAAACTGATCTCAATTACTAAATTTGTTTCTGAGTTATGAATAATGTTAAAAAAGTCTAAAGTGTCCATTTTACCCCACCCTCTCCTAATTATATAATATAATTATATTATATAATTAGGAGAGGGTGGGGTAAAATGGACACTTTTGACTTTTTTTAAAATATTAATGAGGGCTTGCAATGTTGATGAATTTTAATAATTTGTTTTTCAATAGAAACAACAATTCTTTCCCTTTGTGATGAGCTTAAACTGATCTCAATTACTAAATTTGTTTCTGAGTTATGAATAATGTTAAAAAAGTCTAAAGTGTCCATTTTACCCCACCCTCTCCTAATTATATAATATAATTATATTATATAATTAGGAGAGGGTGGGGTAAAATGGACACTTTTGACTTTTTTTAAAATATTAATGAGGGCTTGCAATGTTGATGAATTTTAATAATTTGTTTTTCAATAGAAACAACAATTCTTTCCCTTTGTGATGAGCTTAAACTGATCTCAATTACTAAATTTGTTTCTGAGTTATGAATAATGTTAAAAAAGTCTAAAGTGTCCATTTTACCCCACCCTCTCCTAATTATATAATATAATTATATTATTATATTCAATAAATATAATGTTTATTCTCTATTGAACATGTCAATAGAATTGTTCAACGAATTCGCCAGGTTTTTCAACTAAATTTTCTCGTCCATGACACTCCTAAGAAAAACGAAATTTAAAACGTCTAGATGCAGTTACGTGATCATCGCAATATCGCCCCCGTGGAGTGCAGGACTCACCCCGGAGTCATTCCCAGAAAACTACGCAAAATCCCAAAGTTCATACGTATCAACCCGACTAATCCACTTCGAATCCAACTACAGGGACGACTTCTGGCATCCGAGTCACTCAGGAACGATCGTTCCCCTAGTCTCCAAAGCTTCGACGCAACTGAGACTGATTCAAGAGACAACTCATCCCCCTGGGAGTGAAATAAAAACCCTGTCCGGATATTTCTCAGTATCCGCACGTATGAAAAAATTAAATAGAAAAACCTAGCGAATTTGCTAGAAAATTCTATTGGAATTCTCCAGAAATTCTATTAGGATTCTATTGAAATTCTAGAGAATTCTCGGTAAAATTCTGTTTATTTTTGCGCTGTTTTTATTAGATTTTTGATGGAAAAAGTCAGTAGACTTCGATTTTTCTATATGAATATTCTCTTGGGATTTTTTATACAGGAATACTTGAGCATAAATTTTCCACTCAGATTCTGTAATGCAAAAGAAAACAAAATACAGCGGGAAAAATTTAGAAAATCCGTGATCAATAATTTCAATAGAAAAAATGTCAGGAGAAAAATTTAACCAGAAAAATCTAATCTATTGACTTTTTCCTATAGAATATCTAGTAGGTTCAGCGCAAAAAACAAATAGAATTTTCATGAGAATTCTCTAGAATTTTAATAGAAATTCTAGAGAATTTTAGAATTTTAATAGAATTTTAATAGAAATCCTAGAGAACCCCAATAGAATTTTCTAGCGAATTCGCTAAGTTTTTCAATTTAATTTTTTCATACGTGCGATGCAGACAACGAGCACTCGAGATCTCTGAAGCTCTCGAGAACCCTGAGACAATGCTTCAACCACATCGCAGAGCATTCGCACGTTAATTTTTACGAAGAAACGGAAGCGAAAGGTCTGATGAGTGTTCTCAGCCCTTCGAACATTCAGAATCATATGAATCTCCTGGGGACGCCTTGCAGGAGGTAATTATAAACTGGGATTGTAGACGAGGTGCCATCCCTGAGCTAGGATTTTTTTCGCAGCGAGTGAATACTCGGGGAGGTGGCCGGGCACTGCCGATGGGGCTGTCGAGGCTGGAGAGCACGCCGCGTGTCTAGTCCTCAACGACGTTCGGCCGCAGACGCTAACTAGATCTCAAATAGTGACGTACATGTCAGTTCATTTTTCTTCTAGAAATGAATTCTTTAACATTCCTCGAAACATGAGGATGAAAAAATTCCATAGAAAAAATTCAATAAAAAACCAATTCAATTCATTTCAGTGAAAAAATTCAATAGGAACCCTAGCGAATTAGCTAGAAAATTCTATTGGAATTCTATGGGGTTTTTATAGGATTTCGAAGAAAAAGTCAATAGATTTCGAATTTCTGTTTGAATTTTTTTTTGCGATTTTTTTAGAAGAATGCTTGGGCATCAATTTTCCAAGCTTTTTCCACTCGGATTTTGTAAGACAAAACAAAACAAAATCCAGCGGAAAAAAATTAGAAAATTTATGCACAATAATTCTAATAGAAAAAATCTCAAGAGAAACGTTCGAAGAGAAATTGAAAATATATTGACTTTGTCAAAACAAGTAGAATTTTGTCAATAGAATTCCAATAAAAATTCTATTAAAACGCCACTGAATTCCTATAGAATTCCAGTCGAATTTTCTGACGAATTCGCCAGGTTTTTTATTGAATTTTTTCCTATATGAAACCAAAGGAGCTAGTGTTCAGAATCCAATTGCGTTCAATTCCTGAGCAAAACGGAGTTGAATGGGTGATCACGTCTCTGGTACAACAAAGAAATGAAGCGATCTCCCACTTGTTTTTCCATTGCAGACCAGCGCGAGCAAGAAGAACAGGATCCAGTTTCGAAGTTTGGATGGCTAGAACAGTTCTCTTGATTGTGAACTCTATGATATTCTGGCCTTTTTGTCGAAAAGCCTATAACTTCTGAGGTAAAAACGGCTCCAGACATCGGCATAATCGAAATTTTGAATAGAATTTTGAATTGAAATATTCAAAATCGAATTTATCAACCAATAATTGAGAAATTAAACTGCCAATTATTATATTATTTTTCAAATTTCAATCACGATAAATAAACTTCTCATAAACTTCTCGTGATATTACTAAAAGTAATGATTGACGCCGATCTAAAAACGGCTCATTAATGAAGTGATGGAACAGAAGAAGTTATTCTATCTCCAATTATTGAAAAATAAACCATCATGTGAGGGGAAAAATCAAATCACCCCAAATGACCCCCCAAAAATTTACTTATAAATCGTTGCTTTTTATTTTTGACTGAATTGCAAATACACATAAATGATTCCTCACAGATATTTCACAGACTGACAGATAATGACTGAACGTGGAAATGAGTATGGCTATTCGAGATAAGAATGATGAGAATGATGGAACAAGGATTTACATCCTCTCGGTCATATAGAACGTGACGATGGCGACAATGATGCAGACCACAGCGAAATAGAGCCCTCGTATTATGTACATGTAATTGTTATTCCCCGAGGATTCGACACTCTCAGCCCTCTCCTTTCCCTTTCTCCGGGGCTTGAACTTCCTCTCGAACTTCTCCACTTCCCTCTGATTCTTCAACTCCTCCTCTTTTTTCTTCTTCGCGAGTTCGACCGCCTGCGCACGCTCCTTCTGCTGCTTCAATTCTTTGCACTGCTGGTCACATTCAATCTTGACATTTCCTCTCTGGACTTCGGTGCAGAGAACGGTTTTCTTTATTCTTTGGCATTTGCAGGTAATTTTCATTCGTTTGTTGCATACGTCTGAGGGACGACAGCTGCCGGGGTGACAGTTGTCGATGCATCGATGTCCACATGAGTACTGGAATTAAAAAAGCGCGTGGGGTGGTGAATGTGAATGCATAACATTCTGAAAAGGATGGGCGATATTTTAAATAGAAAATGAAAACTCGAAGGTCCAGTAAACAAAAGAGAATTGAATACCATTCTATGAAACATGAATAAACGAATCATAATTGCCCAAATCATTTGGGTCAGAGGAAAACAGAATAATTCAACTTTCTCAATATTGCGTTTACCAAGGTTTTCTTCGAACAAAGTTGATTAGAATTAATAGCTAGAATTATGAGATAATCTCACATTTTTGACGTTAAGGATAGGAGAATCTGAATGCAATATAGTGAAAATGATGATCGATTTTTTCACTTTGAACAAATAATATTAATATCCAAATACAAAATTTCTGATATGAATAAAAAGAAGCTGTGACTCAATATTCCAAATGAAGTTTTAATTTTTAATTTGGTGCTGAAAACACGAGATGACAATATTCTAAGCACGGAATAATATTGATGAGATGAACAACAGATTAATTGAATTACCGTGTGAACTACCTAAAAATTGATAACAGTGTGGGCACGCACTTTTACCAGAGTATCAACAACCATTGAATTCCATAAATTCACACTCTAAAGTGTGTTCTACAAGCAATTGAATTGTAATAACGATTAAAATCTTATTCAGCGAGCGCAGGAATTAGGACATGAGCGAATCATTTATCGTAATACGAAAATTTAACAGCTGATAAGTTGGGACGTGATTCTCATCGGTCCTATTGCTTTTTGCAATGAGAATGATCATAAGCAATCAATTGAGAAAAGGAATATCGAATCCGACAGGAAGGGGGCATCAAAGTAAACTTTCAAATTACATAAATACCATTTCACCCCCGACAAACTTACATTTCGTGGGCACTGATTCCCGCACTTCAGCATCTCCTCCCTGTCCCTCCCCTTCTTCCCCGTCACCTCCACACACCTCTTGTACAAGCTATTCAGCCCGCAGTGACAAGCGATCTTAACAGGCTGCTTACAAGGTGGACAGGGGGCAGGATGGCACCTCTCAGGACACAGATGACTGCAGCCCTCAGGCCGCCCCAGTCTGCAAGGCTCCTCGCACTCCATGCAGTCTTCCCCATCGCCTCCGCCCTCCCCCCTCACCCTGTGACACAAAACTTCGCACTTGTGATTGCCACAGGGTAAACCCCTCCCGCACTCGCGTCCACACGACCCAGGAATGGCAATGTGACACGGCCAGGGTCTGGTCTCGTGTCCTCCCAGGCACGTCACCATCACAGACACCTCGCAAGGCGGACAGGGCAGTGTCTTCAACTCCATCCTGTCCTTGGAGATCTCCCAGGGTCCAGCGGGCTGCGCGACCCCATTCACCCTGACCTTATATCATCATATTATTATAAAGCGTTCATTTATGGCCTGGGGTGAAACACCCCCTGAGGACAACCAAGAAATACATCCAAGACTTTGATCACAATAAGAGCCGTACACTGAGAGAAAAACAAACACGTCAAACAAGTCTTGTTTGGGCCAACAAAATCGCTAGTTGAAAATTGACAAAAAAGAATCTGTTTGGTTCGGATTTGAATGTCTCAGACATGAATAATTGTTCTGCTCTCGACAGCAACGAAATATTTGGCTCGAGAGGCGGATAATTCACACCAGACGGTGCCTTTTCAGGATGAAAATATCTCATACAGAGGAAAATTTATCAACAAATATTTTATCATTTATATCATTCTTACCTTGACCCACACCTTCGTGTGACAGACAGCCACACACTCATGTCCACACCTCTTATAGACCAGGTGACAGATCTTCTTGCAGGGGGGACAGCTCCCCTGATGGCACTTGTGCGACTCCTGCTTAGAATGATGGCAAATCGGTGGTATTTTGCACAATTTATTGCAGTGCGGGGGTTTGATCCTCTTCTTCGTGCCGCAGGGCACCTCAATCTTGCTGTTACCACACCTGCACTGGAAGGTGATGGTCCTGGGGCAGGGGTAGCAGGGGCCGGAGTGGCACGGAGCTGTGCACTTGTGCTTTCTGCAGTTCAGGGAAGTCTCGCAGATCTTCTCGCAGGGATTCACCCCAGTCCTGACGCAGTCGCAGCACTTCTTGTTGCAGGGGTGCTTGCCACAGGCCCTCATGTTGGTGCACTTTTTGTTGCAGTGGAACTCCTTCGTGCAGGATATCTCCTTGGTGTAGGAGCTGCATTTGCAGGTTTTGCTGACCACCTCGAGGCACTGGCCGCAGTCGCCCAGGTGACACCTCATGTTGCAGAGGTGGGTGCCACAGTCCAAGAGCTTTCCGCAGGTGTCGCCGCACGTGGGGAGGGTCTTCTGCTTGCAGGAGACGTTGTAGCGTTTTTTTCCGCAGGGGCAGGTCCTGTTTTTGGCGACGGGACAGTCGCCGCAGTCACCTGGGACGTGGCAAAAGCCCTCGCAGGTGTGGATCTTGCAATTTAATTGGGTTGTGCATTTTCTGGTGCAGCTCCAGGTGGTCTCCGAGCACTCCAGGGGCTTCGTGGAGGCGCCACAGTGGCAGGGGGAGGGCACGATCTCAGGGCAGGGGGGGCAGGCGCCCGTGTGACACTCGATCCTGCAGGGGTGGCGGCAGGGGAGGGCTTTGTTGCAGGGGGTCCTGCAGCTCCAGGACTTTGTGCTGCAGCGGCGGGCCTGGGGGGGCTGTTTGCCACAGTGACATGTCGTTGTCACCATTTTTGGACATGGGGGGCACGGCCCGGGGTGGCAGAGGAGCATGCAGGTGTGGCCGCAGGCGGGGGACAGGGGCTTCGAACATTTTTCCTCGCAGGAGTGGGGGATTATCCAGGGCTGGGGGACGGGGTCTTTGGTTTTTAGGCAGAAGCAGAGGTAGGAGGTGGGGGTCGAGGACTCGGGGTACTCTGTGCGACATTTGGGACATGCCCACACGGGGGTTATGCCTTTCGAGAGCTTGGACGCCAGGGAGTCCCGGATCCAGTGCTGGATGCACGTCAGGTGGAGAAAGGAGTAGCACGTCGAGCAACTCCATATCTGGATTGAGGGAGAGATTGAGTGGAGTTTTAGTATGGGCTTCAGGTTCGTTGTAACAGTCCCCTGAGGACGTGCACGATTTTTTTAATAATTTCAATCCATTAATTAGTGAAGTAAGGTTAATTCGTTTAATCTCGAATTCATTAATTCATGCATGTGAAATTAGTTTGAATTATTTTCGATTATTTTTTCAGTTTATTCTTTTTATGCAATTAGTTTTTAAGTAATTAATTTGAAATTTGGGGGAATATGTGGAAAAATATGTTCTTTCGAAAGAATAAATTCTTCAATTAATTTAATAATTGAAAAATTGTCAAGTTCTATTACTTGATTAAGTATTTATGAAATTAGTGACAGTTATAAATTATGATTGTGCCTATCTCTGGGAACAAGTGTCCAATTTTTAGACTTCTCATTAATAATTGAAGATACTCACTGGATCACTCTTCTTCACCGAAGATATGCAAATGAGGCAAACAGCCCCTCCGGACTGGAACAAATCCGTCAGATACGATAGAGTTTTCTCGGTATCTCCCCCTTCAAACTCATACGAAGACAGTGTTTTGGACACTGCCTGCTGGAGTGACTGATGAGAGCTCTCGTTCTCCTCATCACTGGAGGACTCCAGGACATTGCCATTCAGGTGTCTCTCGATGGACGCCTGATTCTGGGCCTGCGCCCTCTTAAACTTCCTCATTCTGCCTGAAAAATCCTCAATTCCCCTCAACTTCACACGACAATTGAGCCCAAAACATTGACTCCAGTGTTTTCCACTGAGTATTTATCAACTTTTGAATGGAGCACTGAACCCAGACCGTCAATCCCCCCCAAGGCGACCAATAAAACTGCTGTACGTGGAGAGTGATAACGTTTTCACTCTCCCAACACTTCTCTTCAATCGCCTGTTGTATCTTTTGACTTCATCACTCTGTTATCGTCTTCATTTGGGCTTTGTGTACTTCGCGATGGATATTTTAGGTTAGAACATTTTTATCGACTGCAGTTTTGTTGATATAATGGTGCTCGGGAACAGGTTAGAGCTTCAAAGTTATCAGTATTTTTGGAGCTAAAGGTATTTTTGTGAATTAGTGAGAGAGAATATGAGAGAAATATAGAGAAAAATGTCTGGATTGTTGTGAGTATTATAAAATTATTGAGAAGCGTTGAGAATGGAGAAGAAAACGATTTAATTGATTGCAAATTTTGGAATCTAATTTTTTATGAAAAAAAAAAGATTCAAATACAATTTCTTTATTGATTATCAGAATCAAAAAATAATCCTCATTTTGTTGATTATGGAATAAAATTCACCACAATATTCCCAATTTTTCAATGAAGTTCTCATCTTTTCCTTTCAGATATATCCGATGGAAGGAAAAATAATTCCATAGAATTATTACTGTAAGAATAGTATTTCTTTTTGAAAAAAGACAAACGGATATCGAAGAAACCTTCATGATAGTGAGTCTTACAAAACTAATTTGTTAAACAATAAATCATCACGTAAAAAAAACCTGGAAATTTATTAATTATCATGAAAATAAATGATAATCTTCCTAAAATTCTCTTGACTTCACATCATCATCTTTCAGATGTCGAGATTGAAAAAAAGAGCGATTCAAGTGCTATTTCCCCTCAATGAGAGAAGCCACTGACCAAAAATAAAACAGAACATTGACCCCTAAAAATGACGCACAACGGCGACATCCGCTGGCGAAAGAACCTCTACGAGAATCGAGACTTGCCGGACAATTACACAGACAGCACCTTCCTCGAGGAGCTAGAGAAGAACATAAAACCGAACAACGTGACAACGATCGAGGCGATAGCCCTGGGCTCCAGCATATCGATCCAGCTGAGCATCGTCATCCTCTTCGTGATGGTCTTCATCTGGCTGAACAACGAGTGGACAACACCCAACATCACCTTCACCTCGTCAGCAGGATTGACAGTGTTCGGGTACCTCTGCCACACCCTGAAGCTCCCAGACATGCCAGACAAGATCTCCAAGGACATCAGAACAGCCCTGATCTTCCTGGCATTCGGCTACATCCTGTCGCCAGTCCTCAAGACGTTGACTGAGACAGTCAGCACTGACACGATATACGCTATGACGATCTTCATGTTCCTCATTCACTTGATCTTCTCCAAGTACGGATCCCCCCAGGTGTCTCTGTCAGACTCTTTATCGATAACTTCGTCGATCTTCGGGTCTCTGATGCTCGCCTCGAGGCTCGCATCACCCCTCCATGCATTTTCATTACTGACTGTTGCTGTTCAATGCTTCGTGCTTCTTCCTTTTTTACTATCGAAAATTGAGAACAAGGTGGTGATATCGATTTTACTCACTGCGAGCACTGTCTACCTCCTCGGGATCATTTCACCTACTTTAACTTGTGTTTTTGTCGCTGTTACGATTTTTGTGCATGTTATTTGTCCACTCTGGTACATACGGTGGCAGAAGTATAAGGATAATATTTATGGGCCCTGGGATGAAGCTGTTATTAAATGAATGAGAAGAGAATTTTCCTCACTGAATTGATATCTCCTTCGTGTTTAGAGATATTCTTGAAGAACTATTTCCAAGATGAAATTGAAATGAACAATAGATTTTATGATTAATTTAGTTAAATATATCTATTTATAACGAAATTAAGAAAAAAAAACCTGTTTTGTTCTGAAATCGAAATTTTAGAAACTGTATAATAAGTTAATAAAATTGAAATTGGATAGTATGAACGGATCACTGAATTATTTATTTATTTATCAATAAAAAAAACACCTCACACGATTGGCAGTAGATTACAATCTCGTAGACAACACTTGTTCTCACTTGATAATTATAAACTGTAGTAGTCTCTTTATCCTCCTCACGAGAGCCTCGATGAAGCTCCTCTCGATTATCGAATACTCGTGCTGAGTGTCCAGCAATTGGGCTATGAAACTGTCACTGAAGACACTCACTAGACCCTGCTTCAGGTCTGACAATGTATCTGGTGATACTCGAAATTCTGAAAGATTATCTTCCAATCCCCCTAAAAAAAAACAAAAATATAATCGAAAAATTTTCTTTCACGTTAAAAACTAAAGGTTAAATTTCGAAAAACGTAACTCCTGACAATTGAATCATTCAATTCCAATCAAAACCCATAATTGACCACCTCCTGTCCAAAATTCCCTTTCAAAATCACTCAGCCAATCCCGAGACATTTCCAATGGACAAACTCATTTGTTTCCCTCATCAACATTTCCTCGAATATCCTATCACCTTTCAATCATACTCAATATCCAACTTAAATGAAAAGAAAAATTGCGAATGTTTTTTTTTCATTGCGCAATTAAAGAAAACCTTCACAATATAATAAATAATAAACCCTGGCGTAAAATATTTCAAGCAAATTAATGCAAATCATGTAATTAATCGTCTATAAAAAATAAAATTACCTTGTGCCCTGCTGTACTTTGACGACGCATTAGTAGCATAAAAATCGAGATGTGACCAAAGAATATAAAGACTGTACTCAACAATCATCGAGCAATACTTGATATTCTGTCTCTTATCATCTGCCTGTCTCTCCAATCTCTTCTCAACGATAATCCTCTGTTTCCCAGTATCCAATTCCATCTCCTCGTCAATGAGATACTTCTTGAGATCAGTTGTGCTCATCTCCTTGACCATAGCAGTCCTCTTGATGAGCGTATCAAGAAGAGGGATCTCTGAGTGCAATAAACTCGTTGACGAAACCAGGAGATCTACCAGAGTCCCCAGAGTGACTCCACTGGTGTCCCTCTTCCCCCCAGATTTTCCCAAATAAGGCTCGAACAGAAGATTTCTGATCTTCTGGTCCATGTGTGTGTGCTGCATCTGATTTCTGGCATAAAGAAGAACATTAGCTGTGATCTGGACACATGCATAATGCTCAGCATCCTCATCACGATTATTCGAGTACATGTTGATGGGCTGCGGTACGAATTTTGGTAGAAGCGAGACAATGAGCTTCTGGAGACGATAGAGATGAGCCCGAAGCTCCCTCATTCCCGTGTTGTCCATCAGCGACAGATCCGTGATCATGTCCTTTCCCAATTCGTCCTCCACAAGCTGATACATATCGATATTAGCTGATCTCGCTATCACCCCAGTGAGACAGGCAACTTCTTTGAGGAATAATGCATTGGCACGAGGTATGACATTCCTCAGGACCATTTCAACAGTGTCCCGATGGCTCTGGAGAAAGCCGCACACTTGCACTGCGCACGATTGATTCTCAGTGCCGAGAGTTGTGAGAAGAGCATCGCAGAGATACAGGGCTGGTAGGAATATCTGCTGGTAGCGTTGGCCGATTGGGGGGAGGAAGGACACTTCACTGGCGTCGAAGCCGATGTGAATGTCCGGGTGCTGATCGAAGACGCACATGCTGGAGAGACAGGAGAGAATCTTGTTTTCGAGGAGATTCTCGGCACCTGAAATGAGGGGAAAGGATGGTTAAAAGGAAACCTATATTAACGGATTTTTTTAGGGGCATATGACCTTCATAAAAGGTCTAAGACCTTCGTGAGAGCTTCATACGACCCCCAAGACCTCCATAAACATCCCAAAATCTCCATAAGGCCCACAAGACCTCCGTAAATCCCCCAAAACCTCCATAAGGCCCCTTGATAACCTCTTTATGACCTCCATAAAGCCCTTAAAAGACATCAGGCGTGAAAAAAACTGGAATGCGAGGAAAACTCCAGATGAACTCATTTCATAGGATCTTATGACCGCCATAAAAGCTCTAAGACTTTCATGAGATCTCCATCAAACCCTCAAAACCTCCATAAGACCCCTCGATAACCTTTATATGGTCTTCATAAAACCCTTGAGGCATCGGGCTCGAACTAAAATGCAGGGGAAACTCCATGTGATCTCATTTTTAGGGCCTTATGACCTCCTTAAAACTCTTAAAGTTTTAAAAACAAGTTGATGTTGAAGTTGAAAAACCGAAAATTCTAAATATTTCGAAAACTTTGAATGAACAGGTATACGTATTTTTATTAGTTGAGATAGAAGCCATCCAGACAATTATTTAGAAAGAAAAATTGAAATGGGTTGGGTAGTTTAATTGGCGATTTCTCAAAAATTCGCCAATTTTACAGAAAATTTGCGAAAATTCTCGGATTTTCTAGAACATTCAAATATTTCTTGAAAAATTCAATCCTGTCAATCCACCCAATTAAAAAAAATCGTAAGCGGCTCCAACAATTAACAATAACAACAGCAACAACAATCACAAGAATAACAAGCTAGGCGTGTCTACGTCAAGTCTAACTGCTGTATCAAGGATACGTCCGCTTCGGATTTTTTTTCATCTGACCCTCCATGGCCCACAAGACCCCCACATCCCTCCAATTAATTCTCTCACCTAGTCTCGTAGAAGCCATCCTGCAGAAAGTCGCCATTTTCGCCTCATAAAGATAAAGAGGCCTCAGCGTACTGGGATCAGGCAGCAGCATGCTCCTCAACAAGGGATCAGACTCCAGAAGACTATCAATCATGTGTTTCAAATACCCCCTGGAAGACAGATAGATGATCCAAGAATTATCAAAATCCAGTTCCAGGATCTTATCCAGACAAGACAGCGCCAGCATTTTGCAGACATCGTGTCCCCCCGAGCAGTTGTGGCACACAATGTCCATCAGTTTCTCCCCAAACCCATTGATAACTTGGATCGTAGCATATCTGTGTGACTTTTCGTGCATGGGAAGTGTTCTGTACAACGAGCTGTCCAACTGGCTCACATAAGTGGTATCAGAGGCCGCTCCAGGTCGTTCCGACTTCTCCAGACCCACGACACAGAGGAAATTGAGAAGTGCTCCATAGAGATGAGTGCGAACCTTCTGGGAGGATGCCCCAGAGTTCAGCAGCCACTGGAGAATGTGCCCCAGAATGATCTTAATGGTAGTCGTGTAGGAGGGCGACGTGGACGTCTCATTGCTGGCAAAGGTGTTCTTCAGATTAACCAGAAGTATCAGGACAGTCCCAGAGACAAGTGTCTTGATCTCGTTGAGTGCCTCGCAGGACGTCATCTTCTGCAGGAGATCATGGGATAGATTCAGCAGCAAGCTCTGCCTCTGGTTGGCAGGCAGCTGCTGATTGGTGGCGATGGAGAAGAGTATCTCAGTGGCCTGACACCAGCCCTCAACGAACTTGACCGTTGCATAGGACAAAGTCTTCGTCTGATTCCTCCTCAATGCATATCCGAGGATCGACTGGAGCTCCTGCTGCATGAGCTTCCTCTGAGTGGCGGTTGCACTGCTCTGCGTGACCGCCAGTTCCTCGATGATCAACGAATGCAGCCTCCTGATGTCAATCAGCTGTGGACCACCATGAGGCATCACTGGCCCACTGCACTTCCCCAGGACCATCTCCACCTGCGAAGGATCGAAGAACTCCCAGGTTTTCGTGGGCTCCAGCTGCAGTTGAAAGTCGATGTAATGGAGGAGATCCATGAGGAGCTTCTGAGAGGGCAGAATCTGCTCGCGATCCTGACTTGGATTGCCCACAAGCCTCTGAACGAGACTGTGCTGGAGGCTCCCACCAGCCACTCGCAGCTCGACAGCCACTAACTTCAGGAGCCAGGACATGCAAGCCAACTCAGTGGCTCTGTTATCCCCCTGGAAAGGTAGTTTAGACAGATGTCTCTGGATGAAGTCCTGGTTGGTGGCTGTTCTCAGAAATCTCAGAACTGGAACTGAAGTTTTATTGTTGGATGCCAACGTGTGAAGGAACCAGTAGCAGGCCTCTGTGATCTTGTCCCTTCCCCTCTCCAGCGACTGCTCCAGAATCCCCAGAATCGAGTGGAGGCACGTCCTGGGGAAGTCCCTGATCCCAGGCTGCTGTATCACAGTCTTCCTGATGTCCTTTGTGATGTCAAAGCCTAGAAGATAATGAGCCAGGTTTGGAGCTGGCCTGTTGATGCTCTGCATCAGCAGCAGCAAGATCCTCTCCTTGCAGTTACCAACGGGTCCATCCTCGTCGGGCTCGCGATTCTGGTCAGCATCAGAGTCCAAACACTCGACGAAACCGTGTCTAATTGTCACAGCGAGTGATGGAATCAGTGTGAACGTCGAGAGGAGCTCAGAGTCAGCTCCAGGCTCGTTGGCAACCCCTTGGATAACCCCAATCGCCACGAAAGCATGCCGCCTCAGCCAGTTGTTGTAGGACACGTACAAGGCGACGTTGATCATATGATCGGGCTCTCCAGTCCTGGAATTAACCCCCAGCAGCAGCCTCGATAAATTGGTCCTCAGTTTGCTGGAGGTCGTCGTGACAGCCGACTGCATCTGCATGTAGGGGTACTCGATCAACAGTCCACGCTCCAGGATCCTCAGGCAATTCAACGTGCTGTTCTCCAGGTGGACCTTCCCAGGAATCCCCACCTCGTACGTCTCCAGATGGTGTCTCCCCTCGTCCAGAATGTAAAGAATGACATTGAGCAGCTCTGAGTTTGAATTCAACTGCGTCATTATGTGATAACCAGGCTCAGGATTAACAGAGACTGACTCGCCCCCCTGGAGCTCCACCTTGCAGCCAGCAAAGTCCTCCACCTTCGGCTCATACTGCGAGATCAATTTGTAGAATATCTTGAGACAGGCGTCGGCCACCTGCCACTTCTCCGCGGGATTCTTGTAGGATCTCGTGTTGAAGCGAAGGAAAACGGTGTTGATGATGAAGTGGAGGTAGGGATCGAAGCCAGGATTTCGCTGGCTGGCCCCCAGGAGCCTGGGGATGGGGTAGTCTGTCAGGGCATCCAGCAGCTCCAGCATTGCTCGTGTCAGTGGATACTCCTCGTTTCTGGATTCAATCTCCTCGAGTTCTGTTTGAACACCTCGAGGCTGGTAGCTACTGGTCGTGGGGATTGTGCAGAGGATCTGAGCGGCTTCGAGGCTCTGCCAGATGCTGGACGAACTCTCTGGGGACTTCGACAGAACCGCCAGGGTGCGGACCAGCACCCCCTTGAGGGGAATTGGCATGGCACATCCGACCAGGCCAATCAGCAGTGGGAGGACCTTCCAGCCTGGATGATCGCAGATGGCTATTCTCGACATCTCGTCGTACTTCGCCACCACCTGGACGACGTTTAAAACGGCCTCGAGACGCTTGACCTCCTGGGGAGTGATACCCTTGGGGTGACTTCGTTGACGATAGATCGTGTCCTGGCTAGGGGGCAACTCCTGCCGGAGATTGTAGTAATATAGACATAGGGAATTGAAGAAGTGGTCCCAGGAGATTGTCGAGCCCGTCGAGCCATTGGGCTTCAGGAAGTTGAAGGCGTGTCTTGCTGCTTGTGGAGATGAGGCCAGTGATGCTATCATCCTGAGGTAAGGCACCAGGAGGCCAGCTGGGAGGATCTCCCCGGCTAGCCTCACGAATTTGAAGAGGGCGACCTGTCTCGAGGGCAGTCTGGCCACGTGGACAGAGGAGACGTGGGTCCTCTCCGTCTCCTGGCACCAGTAGTCCACCACGAGGTTGAGGTTGAGGGGGTCCTTGTGGTGCAGCTCAGCAATCATCAGCAGGAGGTACTCGAAGTGGTCGTCCAGGTTTCCAGGTGGCTCCACCCCCTCCCTCTGGTAAGCCTCAATGAACCTCATGGACTCGTCAGCACGACTCCTCAGCTCTTTTATCTTCAGTGGCATCAGCGTTATGAAGTCCGAGATGAAGGTGTGGAAGTAACGAACGTAGAACTCCTCGTTGTGGAGGTCTTCACTCTTGAAGATGACGTTCGAGAGAAAGTGGAAGACTCGATTGGAGAGGGCTGCCTCCACGAGGATTTCGTCCTCATTCGTGATGTTCTGGCTGGAGAGGCTGGAGGCGGATTTTATGGTGGTGATGGCGAGGGCCAGGGCGAACTGGACGAGACCACGGAGGCCCTGGCACTCCCAGGTTGAATTATTGTTCATTAGCTCTTGGATTAGCTCCTCAATGGCGCCTCGTTGGGAAATTATTGACAGGGTTTTTATGATCTCCTCACCGTCCTCGCGGCTGTGGAGGGCACTGAGGTTCAGGGTGTTCAGCAGGGCCATTATCAGGGCCAGGGTGACCTTGTCAGGGCCACCAGTGCCTGATTCTGATTCTGGTTGCTTTCGCTGGAGGAGGGAGAGCAGTCGGTGGGTTATGGGCATCGGGAGGGACGACTGGGCTGACCACAGATACAGAATGTCTGCCAGGTCCTGTCTCGTGTCGTTGAACAGCTTCATCACCATCTGGTGGTGCTTGGGACCCCCCAGCGCTCGATTCTGCTGGAGGAGATCTTGCTCGTGAGTCGGGTCCAGCTCCTCCAGAAGAGAGAGAATTCGGTCCAGCAAACCGTCCTCCTGCATTTTGTTTGTGTACTCGGTTATCTTTTTAGTGAGGGTGATGGGGGTGTCCAGGACCCAGCTGTGACCTATCCTGGCGTACACGAGGGTTCGCAGCGCCGACGTCAGCGCCTTGCAACCGTCGTAGTAGAGGAGAATTGCTGTGAGACCTCGGGTCAGGCCTGGGTGGTACGGCATCTGCAGCTGCGCTGTGCACAGCAAGTCCAGGGCCATGAACTCGTTCAGGTCGTACATGTTGGAGATTATTATCGTCTCGTCCACCAGGTCCTTCGGGAGCACTCGGTGGCCCAGCCCTGGCAGCGTCACCCCTTCGGTTATTCCTTTCTCGATTTCTGCTCGACTCTTCGCGTTTTTTGGCTGGGGAGGTAATTTCGGTTTTTAAGGGTCAGATCAGTTGATTTGATTTATTTTGAGGTTTAAGGGGAATTGTGGGCACCTTTAATTATTGTGCTGATGAGTTTACTACTTCCGTTTTAATGCGAAAATTTTTTCAAGTCGGTTTTTATTTTTTTTGATTGACTTGAATTTTGGTTTAGACTTTTGCAATTGTATAATGAGCTGTGTTGTAGTTTTTTAATTTTTCTTAAATTAATCATCAATAATGATTTTTCAAATCTCAAATATTTGATAAAGCAGTAATTGACTTCGCCAGATTAGCGATTAATTCAGAAATTTAGAATTAATTGGTTAATCGTAATTGAAACCTAAAATTATTTTCACATTTCCATATGAAAATTAGTAAACTTTAACTAATTTAAGGTAAACTTCTTTCAATATTATAAGAAGGTCAATTGACCATTTGTAAAGATTAAAAAATCAGAGGATTTATTTTGATTCCAAGGAAATTTTTATCAAAAAAAATCTCTTCATATTTTTTTTCTCAAATCAACTACATTTTTAATTAAAAATTTTCGAAAAACTTGTTAATTCTCCATTTAAATTAGAACAACGAGTGGAGATGATACCAAGTGAATCTTCAATAAGGAACTATTCCCCCCTAAAGTCCACAATAATGAATATAATTCAACAGTTCAAAAGATTCATTCATCTTGAGAACGAACGTCACAATATTTAATTAACATTGCAATGAAAAAATATGGATAATTTACACAGAATTAGATATTGATAAAGATGGAGAACAAAAGCTTATGAAATGAAAATTGAATACAATTTATCTCTCTGCTCACCGGATTCTTCATGAGTGTCAAGAAATTCTGACGGTGATTTCTGAGCGCCTCCATGAACTCATGATACTGAGGATCCTGAGTGCTGGATGACAACAAAACATACTGCTCCACAATACTCTGAAGCTCCTTGTACGGCGTCCAGCAGTCCTCTGCACTCGATTTCTCTGCAAATAAATTAAAACCCCGAATAGTTCAATAAACCCGAAATTAATGAACCTCAATCCTGAATAATACTAGAATAAATTGAGGTTAGAACCAGAAATTGGTGCTCTAAAGCTGAAATACACTTACCTTCTGTCATTTTACCAGTTTATGATACAAGTTCTACGATCATGAGTGACTGGAGCAGTCCTCTCCAACACTAAACAATCCAAATATTTATAATTTCAACTCATTTCACAACGCACTCGGTGATAACGAGGTGCACAAATGGCGGGAGAGGAAACCGGCTTGCTCCAATCACGTGGCGTCATCTCCCATGAACCCCTGAAACCCCCGAACCCCCTGAAGATACAGTATGGCTGCTGAGTTTAATGACAGGCGGTTTTCAGAGACTGCAGGGTTAGGTGAACGTGAACGCATTTGTCTCCTCAAGAAATCCGGAATCTAATAAAAATGGAGTGTCTGATTGGAATCCAGTTCAGGGATTTTGTTCTCGTTGCTGCTGACATGACGATTGCACAGTCAATAATGGTCATGAAAACGGGTGAGTAGTTCTCCTGAATTACTGAACAGTCATTCATGAAGTCATGCAGGTTCAGGAAGTACTTTGGGGATGTGAACCCTGAGAAAACATTTTCGAGAGTCATTCTGACTTGAAAATTATCCAGAGTAAAACATCTTGCACTAAGAAAATAAGAACTTTTGTCAAGTAATTTTGTACTTGTCCTAAAGACGAGGATAATTTCTCGATGACGAGAAGGCGATTTCTCAAACAAGTAAAGTAAAATTGAATTAATTCATTTGATTCGAATGCAAAAGCCACTTCAATCGATTTGAGAACTCCCTTTCTTGATATGAATAAATTGTCCTCATCTTCCGGACAAGTATTTTCAAGCCACGAATTTCTTGATACAAGTAATGAAGTAGTTCTCAAAAAACACTTGTTTTCTCAGTGTAGCGACGTGGTCAAACGGTTTACGTCAATTAGTTTTAACGGTTTAGTCTTTAGTTTTGTTTTCCAGAAATATTTCCGAATTTAAGGGAGATATCGAAATTTTCATAATGACCTTTTTTGTGGAGTGAATTGAGTGCTACTAAAAAGGTGATGAGAAAAATTTTTCTATCTCCCTTAGATTTCGAGATATTCATTGAAAACTAGCCAGTCGTCAAAATCGACTTAAACCGTTTGAATCATCCCACTTCTGACACCAATTGAAAACCATAGGCTTAAATAAATAAAGGTTTATTAAATTAATGAGGCGAGGAATTAAATACAAAAGGATGTGGCAAGAAAAAGAATGAAACAATTCAGAGACGCCAAATTCAGAGAAGAGGTTCAGAGAAAGGAGAAGAATATGTAAATAATAGAATAATTGGAGAAATTAGATTCGTGTCTTTCTTCTTGTCGCGGATCAATATCCCCCATTCGTCAGGACAAATGAAGAATGCCTCGTCAACAAAAATTGTTCTCCCCCAGACGAGCACAAGATCCACAAGATCTCGGAGAAGCTGGTGATGGCAGTGTCTGGAGAGCAAGGAGACGCAACCCAGTTCTCAGAGTTCATTGGGAAGAATATCCAGTTGTACAAAATGAGGAATGGCTATGAGCTGTCGCCCAAGGCAGCTGCAACCTTCACGAGGAGAAAGTTGGCGGACTATCTCAGGTCCAGAACACCTTATCACGTTAATTTGCTGATGGCTGGGTACGATGATGAGACTGGCCCTGAGCTATTCTTCATTGATTACTTGGCTTCGTGTGTCAAGGCACCTTATGCTTGCCACGGCTATGGAGGGTTCTTCTCGCTTACTATTCTGGATAGATATCATCGACTTGGTGAGTTATCTTAGTATGGGAGGAAAATTCTAAATTTTTTTCAAACCACTGACATCTCCGACGATTTTATTAACGTTTTGCTGTTGAAATAGCACCCAAAAATAATCCTCTTCAATATCCCATTCATTTTTCTAAATAATCTCTAAACATTTGACTTGGAAACTTGTCAGATGTCTCAAAATTGACAAAAAATAATCATTTTTCACTTCAATTGAAAATTCTATTGTTCAGATAATTGGAAAATTCAATTATCTGAACGAAATGTGTTTCATGTGAAATTACTAAAAAATTCATCATTATCCTTTTTATTTGCAGATATGAATGAGGAACAGGCCTACGAACTCTTGAAGAAATGCGTAGCAGAGGTCCACAAACGTCTAATCGTCAACCTCCCCAACTTCAAAGTCCAGAAGATCACAAAAGACGGTATCATCGACTTGCCCCCAGTAACGGCCCAGGAGTTGGCTGTCGAACGTGCCGCAAGAGCATAAGTCCCCCCATTACATTTCCTCCTGTTAATGCTTCTGGATTTCGTAATTATTACCTAAACCTTATGAATTTTCAATAAACAATTTTTGGAATAACAAATAAAACTCGTGCATAATTTTTACACAGACAAAAATCCTGTATTTCGAATAAATCTGATCGGTTGAATCACAAAAGAAATTTAAATTGATCTCGTAATTTACATTCGACGACATGAATCTAGTTATGAGTCTTATCTCAGCATTGTCGTCAGGAAGATTGATTTCATTGTATTTTTCGTATCATTAATGCATTATCATTGTGCGATAATTATAATTCGGAAAAACTACCCTCTCTCAGTTACAAAATTGGAATGGCTACAATGAAATTTCATTGATGTTGACATTTGGCGTATCCGTAAAAAAACAATTACCTAGATAAATTCGACGGTTGTCGAGAGTGCTGGTGAGATGATTTGACCCTTGATAAAAATTTGGGAGCGATAGCTGTCGATGTACAATAGAAATTGAAAAATCTCAGACGAGTGCGATCGTTGAATCAAGAATATTTCGACTTTAATAAAAGATCTGGAATAAAATTATGCTTTGCTTTTAGTTTCAGGAAATATTCTTGACACAATGATATTACTCTTCATGACGAGTGCCATGTTATACCCATGACGTGAAAATTGATATGAATACGAGAGAAATCACTCATGAAATTATTTTTAGAGAAATTTTCAAGTCGTCGAAATCGTTAAATGCATTTTAAAAAATTTATCGAATATTTTTGATGACGAAATTCTCATCAATTTGACGGTTTCACTGATCAAGATCTGTCATAAATGTAAAAAAATAATAATGTCATTTGGATTTTAAAAGTTCAATGAATAATTCTATCCATCGATCGACCGATTGAATAAAAAAATCAAAATCTCAAAATTTCTGGAAATCTTCTGTTCTAGTTTTCAGAGTGATTTCTCCATACGACCAGAAGCGTCACAATTCATGTCCATGAAATCTCTCAAGAAATTATTTGCATAGAAGTGATAGAAATTTCGCAAATTCTTGAGAGACGTTTTTAAGGTATAAAAACCACTGAATGCATTAAAATGCATTTTCATCCAATATTTTAGGTGATGAATCCTCGTTAATTGAATATTTTCGCAAATAAAAATCATAAATGTCAAAAATAAGACCATCATCAAGATTTTGAGACTCCAATACATCATTTATACAGAAACAAAATAGAAAATTCTCGAATGCATTGAAATACATTTTTATCCGATATTTCAGATGATGGAATTTTCATTAATTAGACATTTCCACAAAAAAATCTGTAATAAACCTCAAAAATAATAATTCCATCAGGATTTTGAACTTTTAATGAATAATTCTATTCATCAAACGTCTCAGAATAACAAAAAACAGGTTCTCACTAGATTTCCATTTCATGACAAGTGCGTAAATATAAATTCGAAAGAAATCCCTCAAGAAATTATTTGCACCGAACTACTAGAAATCTTATAAACACCTGAGAGAACTTGCAAACTCTTCAAAATCCTCAAATGCATTAAAATCCATTCTTACCGAATATTTTTGCTGATGAAATCCCCACTAATCTGACATTTCCACTGATAAAAGTCCGTCGCAAATGTCAAGAATAAGAATGCCACCAGTATTTCGAAATTCCAATGAATAATTCTACCCACCAATCGTCTGAGAATAAGTAAAAAAACAGGATCTCAATGGATTCTAGCCAATTTCCCAGAGTGATTCCCTCCCCACATCAAAATCCATTGAATCCCCTCCCTCCCTCGACTATGATACACGTCTCAATTGACAATTCGTCATTCCTCCCCTGAACTATCGCATAGGACCGACATTCCTCCACCCCAATGAAAAATTAATTTACTAAGACTGATGTTCCTCGGTGGATCAAGCGTTATCGTTCAATTATTTAAATAAACTTCGATATATCTCTATTTATCCTTCTTCCCGTCAACTTGAGCTTCCGTCTGGGGCTCCTTAAGGGCCGAGGGATGATCCTCATACGTGAAAATCTTCTTGAGATCGCCCTTGACGAGGGCTACCAGCAGGGGAGTGCCTATGCACGCTGGCACCAGGTACAGAAGGGCTGGCTGGGCGTGATTGAACACGAACATCACCAGCATCGTTGCTATCAGGCCCATGAAGTAGGCGAAGAATGTCGTGTAAAAGTAAGTGTAGGATTTTCGCCCCAGGCTGTGGTCGAACCTCAACAGCAGAGCGATGAAGATCCCTGGGACGACTATGTCCCCCAGCCCCAGCATCGCAAACTTCTTTGCCTTGAGGCCCAGCTCAATCAGGTCCTGGGGGAATACCAGCTTTATCGGGGCCTCGAAGGACTTGGCCACTGTCACCATGACGTCGGTACCGAACACCCAGAAGATGTCGTAGATGAAGAGACCTCCCAGGAGGATGCAGCCTGTCACTATGTTGTTCAGGTGCAGCAGCTCGACTGCGTTTATTGCGAAGGCTATCGCGAACAAGTTGTTCGCCACCCAGTGCTGGAAGGAGGGTTTCATTCGTCATTTTGTGGAAGTTAAAGGAGTTTAGACGTTATTTTTATTTTTGAGAGTAAAATGGGAAGTGAAGTCTAAACGAAAGTTGATATGAGTGGAAATATTTTTGGTGGGTCTGAGGAAATGATCTTTTCGATGTTAGGGGGAAGATTGAAATCTCAAATAATCAGAGAAAATGAACAAAAATTCCCAAGGGATCAAGCTTAATTAAATAAACTTAAATGGCTTATTTTAATATTATGAAAATTAATATAAAAATGGAATACTATAATGTAATATAATTTAATGTTTATTTAAATAAATTAAATTTTTAGCTTATTTTAATATTGGGACATAAATAAATAATTTATGCCGAAACACGCAAGTCAAATGAGAGGCTCTTGTCTGAAAAAAATTATTGAAAGAAGAATTGGTGAACCAAGTTCTTACACGCGTCGAAGATGAATAATTTTTCTCAGGCTTTTTGAATTTATTTCTCCTTGTTATATAATTCATGATGATCTCAAAAAATACTATTTTCGTATGAGATAAAGTTGTTCTTTAATTATTGCTAATGAATCGATACTTTCATCATGTTTTCCAAATGTAGATATTAGTGAGCCCTATCCATCAATAATATTTAAATTTCAATTCATATATTAAATTTCAGAATTGCCGATTTTTTGTAGAAAATTTGTTGTCCCACAATAATAATAAAAAATGTTCTGAATTCATTGAATGATGGCTTTAAAAAAAATTCACTATCATGTTTTTCGACAGCAGTTTTTCATTAATTCTCTCCACATGGGGGTTTTGTTTACCTTCTGGAGGAGATACCATACTCCAATCAGTGAACAGCAAATGAGGCAAACGATGTCGTGTAGATTAAATGTGTAATTTATGATATCTTCGGTCTTGTCGCCTTCGCCTGAGGTGAATTGTATTTGATACGGGGTTTTTGGAATGGCCGCAGGCACCAGGGATGATATAATGGGGCTGAAAATTGAAAGTATGCTTAAACAGTTGTTCAACTGAATGAGTCGTCAGGAAAACAGTTGAATGAAGCGTGTTAATTGTGATGAATGTTAATTTTTGATGAATTTTAATGGAGCACGTATGAGAAATTTTAATAGAATTTTAATAAGAAATTCTAATAGAAATTTTAATAGAAAAAATTTATGCTGGAATCCTATTAAAAATATATAATTCTATAAAAACATTTTGTTAAAAGATCTTTGATAAAAACAGTGAAGGATGCTGATTTTCTAAATTTTCCCAGTTTTTTCATTTGTGTTTTCATTTGTTTTTCATGATAAAATCCAAGAAAAAAAACTTGGAAAATTCTTGTGCAAGAATTTTTATAAAAATAATTCCAATAGATTATTTGTTTATGATTTATGTTAAAAAAATCAACATCTATGCACTTTTTTCGCTTAACAAATATCTATTGAAAAACCCAGATGAAAGTTGCATAGTTTTTTATAAAATTTCTGCAACAAAAAATAGGAATTTCGAATAGAATTCCAATAAAAATTAACTTCCATGAATATTTCATAATTTTATTATCCAATCGTTTGATTGGGAGGAAATTTTCGTACCTCGTGAGATGACACAGGGCTAGAACCCCCAGGAAAAAGAAGTAACCGGTCAAGAGTAGATTGATGTATTCCTTCGAGAATATCTGCAATAATCCATCATTTAATGTATCTCGTAATTCTACAGGATCATGATAAAAATCTCGAGAATACTCACTTGAAAAATTAGGTACAATCCGAAGAGAGCACAACTGGAGATGACAGGGAACATTGCTGCATCCCGGTGGGACATGGTTTCTGGTTTCTCCCCACTCGTCTCAAATTTTTGCTAAACGAGAGAATTGCATTTTTTATAAATGCGTGTAGTTATTGTTGCTAATAAATTGGCAATTTGGTTCTGAATATATTCTCTTTATTTCATTATTCTTTTGATTAATTCCACTTTGATGACAATTTTTTGAGTGATCGTTGAAAGATCAATTTTTGGAAAAATAACTAATATAATTAATTAGTTAATATCATTTTTATTACTAAATAAACTACAATTTTAACTAAATTTTATTACTAAATAATATAATTTTTTTGAATCTGTATGAAAAATTGATTTTTAATTGATGCCAATGACTAGAGCTTATTAAAGTCTATATTCATGGAAAAATTCATGAAATACAATTGATCCCTCATAAGAAAATTTCTAAAAAAATGAAGAAACCGTGGACAATTGCATTTTTTTAAATAAGTATATTTACTGTTGCTAATAAATTAGCAATTTTCTTCTGAATAGATTCTCTTTACTTAATTCTTATTTCACTATTCTCTTGACTAATTTCGTATTGATGACAATTTTTGAGTGACCGTTGAAAAATTGACTTTTAATTTAATTTTAATTGGTGTCAATGAATAGAGCTTATTAAGTTTATAAAAGTAAAGAAAAATTAAGACATTTCAGACCTCATGCAGCAACCCTACCCTAAAAAATTGGAAACATAAATTTGAGCGATTCCAAAGCTTCCATTCAACTGCAAAAATAGTACCACGAGGTCCATCTCCCCAAAATCAATTACCAAATAACCATTTTAAAGCTCCAATAAACTCAATTTCCGAGAAATTCGTGAATAAAACTATCAAAATAATAGAAAAAATGCCCAATTCCCACTTCCAACGTCACTCCATATGGCGAAAATCCCATTGTTTTCCAGCACTGGTAATATCTAACCTGCTGTTCCTTCTGGTGCTTGACCGATCGAAAGCTCCCGAGGAAAATCGGCAGGATGGCCATCACCACGAGACTCCCGTAAGCCAGGACCATTCCCTCTGCTGATGCTGGATCCTGACTCGATGTCTTATTGACATTGTCAACAATACTGTCGTTAACATCTGACACAGCCTGATTCACCGCACCTTCCATCTTGCTATCACTCTGTTCACTGCACTCGCTGATGTGTGTGTCTTCTCCAGGGAGTGTACGTATCGCTGTCGGGCTTGTGCCTCGACCAGACGAGAAATCCACTTGTCCTATCGTAACACGTATGCTTGGGCACGTGGATGGATTTTGTATACGTCTACAGGAGAGTTTTGACCACGAGAGGGAGGTAACACGTTTGCTCAAGGGGAATCGCACCTCGATCGACTGATGATATTGGAGGAAATTGGATTTGAGTCTATTCACTCGGTTTTGCAAGAACATTTTCGCAGTTGATTTGTCAACACGTTTTATTCATTCGTTTTGTGAGTTTTTTTTCTCGTTTTTGAGACATCTATTATGATTTCTTACCGCTGGGAATTTATTTCTTTTTTTGTTGCTTGAGATAATCAAATTTTTGTTGGAATTTTTCATTGTTATTGATATTTTATGCAAAGGTTTCATTTGGTCGTTTTTTTTGCTATTTTGAGGCTTTTATGACGATTTTTCAGCGTTGGGAATTGATTTTAATTTTTGGTGTTCAAAGTAATCAATTTTTCGTTGGAATTTTTTCCATTTTTATTGACAATTTATTTAAAGGTTTGATTTATTTGTTTTGGAAGTTTTGTTTTTGAAATTTTGGAATTTTTTCAATGATTTTTTAGCCCTGGGAATTTATTTTTTGTTTATTTTCATTGCTGATTGTTTTTTGTGATTAATTGAGTATGAATTTGGATTTATTAGTTTGGGAATTTATTCTTAATTTTTCAATTGAAATTTTGGTTTTTTGGTGCTGATTTCTCATTTTGATCTTTAGTTTTTGGGAATAGTAGATCAGAGAAGGGTGGAGTGAGTACTGATGGCTTCACCGGCACCCAAATCACCGGAGCAGTCGGAGAAGAATCGAAAATATGACAGACAGTTGAGGTAATTGAGGGCTGAGGGTCGATCCTGAGGGTTCAAGGGTCGGCGTTGAGTGATTTGAGGGCTTTGTTGAGGGAAAATTAAGGGTTGAGGTTTTTTCAGGTTATGGGGGGACCACGGACAGGTTGCTCTGGAGGCAGCCCACATTTGCCTCATCAATGCCACTGGGCTGGGGACTGAAATCCTGAAGAGCCTGGTTTTACCTGGGATTGGAGCTTTCACGATTGTCGATGGAAAGAAAATCAGTCAGGAGGACATTGGGGCCAAGTAAATATTTATTCTTTCAGTTTCCAGCGGACGATCCTTCAGAGGATGTCACGAATTTCTAATTTCATGAATTTCCGAATTAATTCATCATATCGTCAGAAACTTAAAACAATTCGTCGAACGTCATTTGAAAAATTGCTGACAATGACATATTTTAAAATGTTTCTCTAGAACGTTTTCATTGGAATTGAGATATTTTGTTTTTGAAGTTGAAAAAACGAAATTTTGAATCATGTTGTCAAATAAAAGATTTATTATTTCAATTTCCAGAGGATGATCTTCAGAGGAACATTACAAATTTCAGATTAATTCATCATATCACCAGAAACTTTAAACAATTCTTTGAATTTTCTGATGGAGAAACAGAAAGAAATTGAGAAAAGTGAAGATGACATCTGGAAAAAAATATTCGAGACTCCCTTTTCGATATTTTCTATTTTAAAATACATTCAGAGAAAATTTATTCATGAATTTCCTAAAATTTGCTGAAAATGGCACATTTTAAAATGTTTTTTTCAATATCCGCACTAATTATCGTTGAAGCATGAAATGAGGGCTCTCTCATCTCCCCTTTCCTCACACTTTTCTCCAAGAAATCCATCACAGTAAAAAAATTCAAGGCCACTCAATAACATTCTCCATCATCTCATCATTTAATTTAACTCCCCCTAATGAATCTCAAGAAATTAACGTGCAAATCACTCAGCAATTGCCCCCAGTTTTTTCCTAGACGCCGACAGCGTCGGAAAATCCCGCGCCCAGGTGGCCACACAGCTGCTGGTGGAGCTGAATCAGGACGTCCGAGGTGACTACATCGACGAGGGCCCCGATCAGATCCTGTACAACAGTCCCGACTTTTTCAACAGCTTCACAGTGGTGGTGGCGACAGCCCTGCCCGAGAAATCCCTGATCCTCCTGTCTAAGAAGCTCTTCGACCTCAACATTCCCCTCATCGTCTGCCAGAGCATCGGCTTCATCGCCTACATGAGGATCCAGACGCGCGAGCACACGATAATCGAGACTCATCCTGACAACGAACTCCCCGATCTTCGCCTGGACAAGCCCTTCGAGAGCCTCAAGCAGCACATGGACGCCATCAACATGGAGGAGATGGACCTGAAGGACCACTCGCACACGCCCTACGTCATTGTCCTGTACAAGTACCTCGAGAAGTGGATGCAGGAGAGGGGGAGTCCACCCAACAACTACAGGGAGAAGAGCCAGCTGAGGGAGATGATCAAACAGGGAATTCGGAGGGATGAGGATGGCATTCCTCTGGACGAGGAGAACTTCGAGGAGGCCATCAGGGCTGTGAACACCAGCATTGGGACCACGACTGTTCCCAAAAGTGTATTGGATATACTTAACGATGACAGATGTGTCAATCTCACTGCCATGAGCTCCTCCTTCTGGATCATTGCGAGGGCCATCAGGGATTTCATGGAGAACGAGGGCTCTGGACTACTCCCTGTCACTGGCGCTCTGCCTGACATGACTGCTGATACCGAGAAGTACATCGCACTTTCGCAAATGTGAGGGTTCTAGTTATTCTTTCGGTTTTTGCCTTCAGCAAATTTTCAAATTTCTAAAATCTTTTTTGCAATTCAGTAGTTGATTTTTTGACAATTTTGCAAATTTCTTGATTTTTAAAATTATTTTCCATGATTAATGAGAGAATGTAGAGTTTTATTCTTGGGGTATTTCTGGATAAATCAATCTACCCCTCGAATTTTCAAGACTCATAAAACCAAAAATCTTCCCTAGTTATCACAAACAAGCAGTGAGTGACGTCGAAGCAGTCTGGCGCCACACAATTCGCCTCCTTCGACAGCTGGGACGTCCCTCAGACTCAATTCCCGAGAAAGACGTCAAGCTGTTCTGTCGCTACGCCTCCGACATTCACGTGGAGCGCGGCACATCGATAGCTGACGAGTACGACCCAAAAACCATAAACGCCAACGACATCGCCGAGAGCCTGGAGAACCCCGAGAGCATGATGGTGTACTACGTCGTCCTGAGGGGCTTCCAGAAGTTCCAGGCAGAGTACAACTCCTATCCTGGGGAGTTCGACGATCACGTGGAGCCAGACATCGTCAAACTGAAAGCTTGCATTTCCAAGTTGTTGGGGGAGTGGGGATGTGGGCCACTGACCAAGGACGATTACGTCCACGAGTTCTGCAGGTTTGGGGGCGCTGAGTTGCACTCAGTGTCAGCGTTTCTGGGGGGTCTAGTTGCTCAGGAGGCCATTAAATTCATTACTTCACAGTACAAACCGATTCACAATACTTTTATACATGATGCTGTCACTTCGAATTCTGCTATTTTCTTTTTCTGAGGTTTTCGAGAGGGGGCGGGGCTAAATAATCACTAAACTTTTGTTTTTATTCATCGGTTAGATAAATCTTGATGAATTACTGTTTTGCATGAAGGAAAGATTTGATTTTTCTATTTATTTTGAGAATGAAAACTCAAATTTCGAATTGCCACATTCAATAATGAAGGAATTTTATGCAAAACTGCGATTGAGGACAGGCGTATTAACGGGGAGATGAGACTTGCTTTTTCTGAGAGGCTGAGGCTAAATAATCATTAAACTTTTGATGAATTGCAGTTTTACATGAAGAAAGGATATAATTCTTTTGGTTGGATAAAAAAAATTATTTTCTTTATTTTGAGAATGAAAAAATCAAACCCTGCAATTTTGATTTGTCACATTCAATAATGAAAAAAATTCGTGCAAGACTCGAACAGTTCATTTCATCAACAATTCAAGGATTTTTTTAAATCTAAAAAATGTCTAGTGAGCGATTATTTTACTCCATTCTCCCCTACTGTATTATAATTGATCATCCTGATGATTAACAACTCATGAATAAGAAATAAACCGACCATTTTCTCCCCCTGATGATGAATATTTCAATGAAGATCCTCTTTTTACATATTTAAGTTGTAAAGTAATCTGAACAATGACTCTTACCACTAACTTTAAGTTAACGACGATAATAAATTACAAAAGAGTTAATTATATTTGAAAAGTTTATTTTCTTGCCTCAAGTTTAATCCTAATTACTTCATTAAGTTTCTGTAATTTAACTTAAAAAATGTGGAAAATGGAAAGTTGTCACTCTCCGTGATATTGAAGAAAGACGAACATTTTCTTGGTGACTATGGCTGTGATTATCGTCGGCCCCGTCCCCTGCCACGTCCCCCACGGCCTCCACGTGCCCCACGACCCCCGCGTCCTCGTCCTCGAGCAGCGCCCCTCGCTGCCTCCTTCTTCTTAGCTTTGGCCTTTGGTGTATCGTCTATGAGGAGGGTCTCCAGGGGCAGCGAGTCAGGTAGAATGTAATACCTATTTGATATTGCTCGATTAATTTCAGAAATACTTCTGTTGGAAATCAATAAACTCATGTTGTTATAATTTTGCCATTAACAATTTTTATTAACGTGTAATTAAAAGGTTTTGATTACATGGAATAAATCCTTTGCCCATTAATTTTAATTGTCAATTCAATTCAATTAATGAAATTAAATTATTTCAGTTTATAATTGATAATTATCTTCTTTCAGACAATTAAATAAAAATGATTAATTAAATGATCTGCATAGAAAAGTTTTTTTAACACCATTTTATCCAAGTCTTAAGCTATATGAGAATTTCCAGAAGAAATATGACACTTGAAATATGAATTATGACAATTGAGTAAAGTAGAAATATAGTTTAACAAAATAATGGAACAAAATAATATAAAATGATAAATAACACACGACAGAAGGAAATTATGTGCAAAATGGCCATTCATAGCATGATGTCAATTTATTATCAAAAAACAATTATTTCATCTCTATTTGATAACGTCTTCATTCGATCATGAAATTTTTTTTTCAAATTCTCAAACAGTATTTATTTGAAGCGACTAAAAACGCAAATAGAAGTCAAATTTTTTAGAATTTCAGGTTGAATAACAACATTAATATGAGCTAGTTGAGTAAGCCCATTCGTTCAATTGAAATAAAGTCTGTTTGATTCAATTAAATTATTGTAATGAATCAGATTGTAATACCTTATGTTGTTTCCACGCAGACTGAGGGTGTCCAGCTGCACTGGGTCACGGTTTTTTATCGTCATCTTGACGGTTTTCAGGTGAGTATTCATTGCCACATCAACTCCTGTCGTATTTGTAAATTAAGAAAAGGAGAATTAATAATGATTACTTTTATTTGCATTATTTTTCATAATATTTCTCCAGATAACTCACGCATTTTGAACAAATAAAAGCTTTTACTTTGAATTGTTCTATTCTTTTTGTATGATTTGAACATTTTCATTGAAATAAATCATTTATTCATTCCAAATAAATGAATAAATAATTTTTTTCGTGCGTGTCAAACAATAATTTGAGGTTAAGTTTATATACCAGTGATTGTCCCATGCACCTGAGTGCCATTTTTCAGTTCGATCGTCACAGTCTCGTGACTGAGTTTCATCAGAAACCTAAAACACAAAATTCGTCACTAAATTAATCAATTTATTCGTGAAGATTGAAGACAACTTGAGTGTTTGAGGTTAAAGCGTCCCAGCGGCAGCCCATCGTTTGTTTACACCTCGCACTCAGATCGGAGCAGGGGCTAAATAATAATTAAAGCTTGCGCATTTAGTGTTGTAGTCTAATTGTTTACCTCACTAGCTTCATTTTTATCTCAGAAAATTTGAAAACAACGAGTCACTTTTGGAGTTGTTGCAAACACACTTCTTTATAACTCAGCGGGTGTCGGCTCCGGTAGTTTAGGTTTAGAGGGTAAGAGGGGGCGCCGGGAGAATAGTCGATAGATGAGTATTTTGGTTTGAATAAAGTAAATAGTATATTGTGCACCAAGGGAGGAAAAAAGGATTTTCTAACTCGCGTGTGGAATAGAATGTTCCGAGGCGAAAATCTCCAGTAGAATGTATTTTATAGAAAAAATCAGTGGATTTCATTTTTTTTCATGTTCTATGGGAATTCGACCAGAATTTTAAAATCCAAAAAAGAAATATTCATCTTTCATAAACGTAAGAAATTAACCCATCGAGTTTTTCAGTCAGTTTTTTTTTTAAACAATAGTCTCTCGTTTGACTAGGGTGTCTCGAGCTAACACGCCATGTCGAGCACGCAGAACCAAATTATTTATTACAAAAATTTGACACTGACAATAATTTTCATACTGAGCATCGAATTTTTATTCATTTTTTCTAGATTTTTCGATATTTTTTCTAAATTTTAATCTTTTCCCTAACCTCGGAAATTCCATTTCCTGATAAGACTATATTATTTTTGCAATTATAGATTAATTATTATTAATAATACTAGACAGTCGATTGAGCAGAAATTCAACCAGAATGTCTCGATTCGTATTAACTTTCGTTTACAATTTATTCCAAATTTAAATCTTCAAAATTCAAGTCATGTTTACACAATTTTACACGAATTCTAACTTTGACGAGTGCAAAAAATTGATCCATTAAATTTCTTCAATTATTTTTCTAAACAACAGTCTCTCATTTGACTAGGGTCATGTCAGGCACGCAGAAACATAAATTATTCATTACAAAAGTTTCACAGTGACGATAATTTTCTATTGCGCATAGAAAATTTATTCATTTTTTTATATTTTTCAAGATTTTTTCTATATTTTAATCTTCCCCAATCTCGATGAGACTCCTAACTGGCCATACTCATAACTGAGAAACAAATTCATTAATTGAGATCAGTCTGGGCTCATTCTAAACGGAAAAGAAGTGGTGTCCACGAAAAAAAAAAAATTCCATTTTATTTAAAATTGAATGAGCTGTGAACATTTTTAAAAAAATCAAAAGCGGCCTCCCCCACTCTCTCCCCTATATTATTTTCGCAATTATAGATTAATTATTATCAATAATACTAGCCAGTCGATTCATCTCAAACTCAACCAGAATGTCTCCATTCCCATTAACTTTCGTTTAGAATTAGCTTCACACTGAAATCTCCAAAATTAAATTCCTGCTTAACCCTTTAATTATTCACGTCATCTCAGATGTTCCCGCCCCTCTCCCCCCTCCCAAATCATCACCAGCGCCCCCCTCCCCAACAGCAATTTCCCCGCTCTGGCCAGTCGCTCAGCAGCTCGCTCTACCTCGCAGTTCCCGCATTTGCGGAATGATATTCCAATATGGCAACCGTAGTAACGTCTGCACGAGTCGGTGTGTCGGAAATGTTTTGATTCCGTTGACAAATCGCGACGGCCGGTCGACGTATCGCACATAGGTTAGTAGGTTTGCCAATCAAAATCAAAAAATTTTCCCTGTCACTCGGATTGAAAAAAATCGCCCCCCTGTTTAACCCCAAAAAGCAAAGAGTCACATTTTCAGTGAGAAACGAGAGAAAATTTTTTTGAGGAAATCGTGATTGCTGTTGAGATTCTCTGGCATTCGTAACCGGAATTGAGTGAAAAATGAAGTATTTCGTGATTAAAAGGGACGACGAGTAATTGGGGGTTGGGGTGGGATTGCAAAGCTCAGAGGGATCGTCACAGCGTACGATCAAGTGATTTTGTAATCGAGATTCAACGAATTTTCCGGCTTCTTGTGGCACAACCGTATCACTTTCCCAAATCCTCGACAAGTTGTACTAGTGAAGTAATACAGTTGCGTCACAGAGTGACCGGTGACGTATATTTATCGTCTCGTTTTTCATTAGTCAAGTTATTCAACGTGAAATAGTACATCTAGCCTCATTGGGAAGAAAATGAAATCAATTTGCCAACGAAATAACCGAATTTTTTGCTCTCGTCTGGGTTTTACTTCTCATTTGTCGTTTGGGTGATTTGTGGATTGAGTGAATGAATTGGGCGATTGTTTATGAGTGGCTGGTATGCGAGGTGGGGAGAATGGAGATGAAATATTGAACATCAACAATGGAATTGACCCAACGTGGGACATGTCACTTGATGAAACTACGGACGAGGCGTAGAGCAACCCCTAGGCGTCCACCGGTAAGTCGTCAATCTTGTTTCATTATTTATTGTTGACGGGTGTTACTAACCACCGGGGGTATTTAATACTGTTGTCACGGGCTCTGGTGGTGGAAGGGCTTCACGAAAACTGGATTTGCCCTTAATTCCAAAGAGTTCAGCAGGAATTAAAGTCTTAATTAAGTTGAGTTAGGGGAAAACGAGGGAAAATGACATTTACTCGGATGTGAATGTCTCGAGATTGGCTGGGGGAATTCGACAGTTTTTTTTTTCATTTTTGAGGTATTTTTGTGGATTTTAAAACGAGATTTGACTCGTGTGAACTTGAGAATTTTTTTTGTTAATTTTATTTCGTTATTCAATTCCAAAGGTTTTGGAGTTTTCCTTGAATTTTAAGCAGTTTAGCAGGAATTAAAGTCGTAATTATGTTCAATATTTTTTTTCATTTTTGAGGTATTTTTGTGAGTTTTAAAATGAGATTTGACTCGTTGAAGACGTGCTGTTGGGGTGGGGGATGTGGGAGATTTAAGAAGATGCGGTTTTACTTTCAAGTTAACTTGAGAATGTTTTTTGTGAATTTTATTTCATTGTTTAATTCCAAACATTTTGGAATTTCACTTTAATTTTAAGGAGTTCAGCAGGAATTAAAGTCTTAATTAAGTTGAGTTAGTTGAAAACAAGGAAAATGTAATTTACTCAGATGTGAATGTCTCGATATTGGCTGGAGGAATTCAACAATTNATTTAAGAAGATGCGGTTTTACTTTCAAGTTAACTTGAGAATGTTTTTTGTGAATTTTATTTCATTGTTTAATTCCAAACATTTTGGAATTTCACTTTAATTTTAAGGAGTTCAGCAGGAATTAAAGTCTTAATTAAGTTGAGTTAGTTGAAAACAAGGAAAATGTAATTTACTCAGATGTGAATGTCTCGACATTGGCTGGAGGAATTCAACAATTTTTTTTTTCATTTTTGAGGTATTTTTGTGAGTTTTAAAATGAGATTTGACTCGTTGAAATCGTGCTGTTGGGGTGGGGGATGTGGGAGACTTAAGAAGATGTGGTTTTACTTTCAAGTTAACTTCAGAATATTTTTTATCAATTTTGTTTCATTATTTAGTGCTTAAGAGAGTTACAAACCACAAAAACGTTAGAATTTCCCTTTAATTTTAAGGAGTTCAGCAGGCATTAAAGTCTTAATTAAGTTGAGTTAGTTGAAAATATAATATAATTTACTCAGATGTGAATGTCTCTAGATTCGCCGAGGAGAATTCAACAATTTTTTTGTAGGGGATGTAGGAGATTTAAGAAGATGTGATTTTTCGTCAAATCTACTTGAGAATATTTTTTGACAATTTAATTTCATTATTTTTTGTTGACTAGTGTATGTAAATGTCTTGAGTTTGACTGAGCAAAATAATTTTTTTCATTCCCAAGGGATCTTCCTAAGCCTCAAAATAAGGTTTGACTGATCGAAAATGCACTATTGCTCCGGGCGATACGAAAGATCTAAGAAAATCCATTTTCAACCTTCACCGAGTCATCATCACTGGGAACATAGAAAAAATTTCATTCTCCTCTCCAAAAAGTCTTGCTCTACCACTTAAATTTCTCATTCTACTCATTCCCCCCGATATAACCAACCACCGATGTACAATGTATAAAATACAATTGTCACGTTATCGGAATTACAGAGGTTGTGTGGGTGGAATAACTAGTTGGAATAATATTTCTCCATTCACGGTGGAATTCAAAGTTTTCTATTATTTCAACTGTGGGGTTTTTAAACACTTGATTAGGTGTGACGTTGTCAAACTAGTGTGTCAAAGGGGTGAGGAGATAGGGGTGACAGTGCTATCGGCTTTATTTACCATTTCGAGGTAATCGGAAACGTTGAATTGTCGCGTGGCATGTGTTTGGTATCTGAAATGCTCCTGTGTCTTTCCGGTAATCGGCCTCTCACCACTCATCCGGAATATCCAATGTCATTCGTTAATTGAGGATATTGCGTACGTTATTCTTATCTCCGGGGTATTTAAGTTGAATATTAAGTGTGATAGAGAGGTGATAGGTAATTCGAGGAAATGCTGATGAGGGAAGGAAATGAATTTTTCCATTGGGAATATCTCGGGATTGGTTCCGTCCATCTGAGTGATTCGGGAGCGATTTTGAAGGTATTTTTGTATCCTTTGAAATGAAATTTAATTCATTGAAATCGCATCATTCGTCTTGAATATATCTAGCAATAACTAAAATCCCACCGAAATCGCCTCAGAGGAAAACAAGGACAAATGAAGTTTGTTGAATTGTGAATATCTCGATATCGGCTGAGCAAAATGCAACAACTTTTCTCAGTTTTTAAGGTGTTTTTCAAACCTTCAAAATAAGACCTGATTCATCCAAATTGCAGCATTTGCCTAGGAAATATGGAAGATTTAAGAAGATCAATCTTCACACTTCCTCACGTCAACGTCGTTATTATCGAATGTTTAATTCCAAATATCTCGAGATCGGTGGAGTGAAAATTAACGATTTTTTTTTCATTTTCAAAGTCTTTTTTCACCGTAAATAATGAGCCATAATTCGTTCGAATTGAATCATTTGTTCACAAGACGTTGAGAATTCAATAAAGTCCGTTAAATTTTAATTTAATTTTTGCTGCTTCATGCACAGTACAGATGATTAATAATCTCGTTTTAATTATTATCCCTGCCTCTGGGGTTTCAAGAGTAAGGACAATATACTATGTCATATCTTGGGAGTACTAGAGGTTCTCAGGCGTGTTTACTCGTACTTGGCACGAATTGAATTTCCACAAGGAGAATAAATTAACGACGTGCGACCACGCGAGCTAACGAGCGCGTCGAGTGATCCTCGCACACCCACATTTTCATCTCTCTGTGTGTCAGCTGTGTTTGTACATTGTTGAATATTTCGGTTGGGGCTTGAGGGGTGAGAATAAAGGGAGGGGAATTTTGGACACCAAGTGGTTGATTATGGGTTTCGATTGGAATGGCATGATAAATTGGTTTATTTGGAGATTCTGATACTTTGTTTCCCCGGTGGGAGGATAATTCTGGGCGAGGACAATGTGGTTTTCTTATCATAAGGAAATTTTAGATACTGAGATGAGTTTTCAGTTTAGTTACGAGGATAATTATTTCAACAGTGGAGTGGAAAAATTGGATAAATTGGAATTAGGTGGAAAGTCAATTAATTGGAAATTGATTTTTGATAAGTGTCTTGGAGTCTAGTCGAGATATGATGATTTTTGTCACGTGACCAATTTATGACGGCATTGGAATTACTATATTCCATCTAAATAGCAATAAAAATGTCATATTTCTTGAAATTTCATAATGGTTTCTAAAATTTATGACATATTTTGCGCCACAAATTCTATGTAACCGGTATATTTCATTTAAATAGCAGTAACAATCTTAAAGTACTCAACATTTCATAATAGATGTCCAATTTTTTAACATTTTTCGTCACACAAATCTTACGCGACCGTCATATCCTATCTAAATAGCCATAAAAACGTCACATTTCTCTAAATTTCATGATGGTTTCTCAAATTTATGACATATTCTGTGACACAAATTTTATGCGACCCTTATATTCCATCTAAATAGTAATAAAAATGTCACAATTTTCGAAATTTCATAATGGCTATCCAAATTTATGCCCGAATATTGAGGGCAGAGGAAAATTCACTAATTCTACTTTCTTAATATCGCGTTTACTAAGGTTTTCTTCGAACAAAGTTGATTAGAATTAATACCTAGAATTGTCAGATTATCTCGCATTTTTGACGTTAAGGATAGGAGAATCCGAATGCAATATAGTGAAAATGATGATCGATTTTTTCACTTTGAACAAATAATATTAATATCCAATTAAAAAATTTCTGATATGAATAAAAAGAAGCTGTCACTCAATATTTCAAATGAAGTTTTAATTTTTAATTTGGTGCTGAAAACACGAGATGACAATATTCTAAGCACGGAATTATATTGATGAGATGAACAACAGATTAATTGAATTACCGTGTGAACTAACTAAAAATTGATAACAGTGTGGCCACGCACTTTTACCAGACTATCAACAAACATTGAATTCCAGAAATTCACACTCTAAAGTGGGTTCTAGAAGGAATTGAATTGGAATTATGATTAAAATCTTATTAAGTGAGCATAGGAATTAGAACATGAGCAAATCATTTGTTGTCATTTGAAAATTTAACAGCTGATAAATTGGGACATGATTCTCATCGGTCGTATCGCTGCTTGCAAT